ATTGTTGGCCGCGAGCGGGAATCGAACTCGGGAAAAGGCAGGTCCGTAGTGAAGCTAACCACTACACTACCGCTCCCCATAACACGTGCGCACACACACGCACTGCAGATACGGTGCGCACCCCACACTTTGTTAGAAATTTCTGACAATCTGTGTACGTTACAGCTGCAAGCGATATTACGGACGTAAGGAATCCTACGTGCGTGTGCACGTGTGTGTGTGACTGTGCGTGTGCACGTGTGTGTGTGTCTGTGCGTGTGTCTGTGTGTGTGGGGAGCGGTAGTGTAGCGGTTAGCGCGCTGCGCTATGAACCCGGCCACCCGGGTTCGATTCTCGCTCACAGTCAACACCAGTGACGATTATCTGAACCGGTCTCTGTCCTCCCCTAGGTCGACTCAGCCTCAAATGAGTACCTGGTGCGGTGTGTAAACCACTGGAGAGACAAAGGCGGTCGGGCGTGGCCCTGGCCACCCACCCCCTCGAGTGCCGTGCAGGCCTTCATAGGTGCTCCCGAACAGCACTTGCCCCTACAGTCTGTTAAGCCTACGTGGGGGATATTTGTCTTTTTGTGTAGAGGAGCGATGGCTCACAACAACGAGCGGAGCGCCGGGCGACTAAAGCACAGCCAGTTGGCACAGTAGGGGGCACAGGTGGTGCATCGGTCACTCATCTCGGCCAGTCGACCCGTGGCACCTGCTGGGTCTGCCCCGTGACCTCCTGCTAGCGGGCGTTCGACACTTCACGTGGCCTTAACATGGTGCACCTAGCCTGGCACAAGCGCCGTGGTGATGTCACCGCCACTTAGTGGCGAATGGGGGTTGCTGTTGTTTTAGATTTGAAGCTTTCGTGACTGCAAGGATTCATACTCTTATGTTTTTTTTCGGTAAAGTCACGTAGGTAAAAAATTAAATAAAAAATTACTAAAAGGCACTATTTTACTTTACCGAGTGTTAACATCCCCAGCGTTTAACAGTACTCTCCTTTTTGTATTTGTTTGTCAACCAACAGTGGGTAAAAAAACATGGGCATTTTCGTTCTCTTCTACAATGTGCACCAACTGGTCCAACAGTTCCACATTCACTCTCTTTTAGCCCCCCCCCTCCCAATACGTTCCTTTCATTGACCACCACATTCAGATAAGCCCCTCCCTCCCTCCTCCCCCCTGAACTTGTATTTAAGAACTTGTATCTTGGAATCTCTGCCTCACTTGATACAGCAAATCTAGCTGTGACAGTCCCACATGATGACGGAGACTTGTGTTGCCTCTGAAACGTCGTGATTTATTATTTTATTTTATTTCTCTTATTACTTTTAGTAATTTTTTATTTTATTTTTTACCTACGTGACTTTACCGAAAAAAACTAAGAGTATGTTGCTGTTGTTGTGTGTGCGTCTGACGATTATCTGAACCGGTCCCGGGATTCCCCTAGGTCGACTCAGCCTGAAATGAGTATCCAGGAGAAACAAAGGCGGCCAGGCGTGGTGTTGGCCACACTCCCCCTCGCGTCCCGGCCTTCGCAGATGCTGCTCGCTAACAGCACTTTCCCCCACAGTCGGTTGTAGTTATACGGGGGATTTTTGTCTTTGTGTGTGCATGTGTGCTTACAATCAAAGCCATATGGGACATCCACAACGCGCACGCGTAAATAAACAATTACGTTGCGGGTCTTTTCACTCGTCCATACTTCACCACTCTGGTCAGCTATCACTATCACTACCCCCATCACTATCCCTATCACTACCCCTATCACTACCCCTATCACTATACCCATCACTATACCCCTATAACTACCCCTATCACTACCCCTATCAATACCCCTATCACTACCCCTATCACTACCCCTATAACTACCCCTATCACTACCCCTATCTCAACCCCTATCACCACCCTAATCCCTATTACTGCTCCCATTAGTACCCCTACCTCGATCACCACCCTAACCTACTACCCTAACCACTACTTCAACCCCTCCTAACTGCCGCCTCTCATCCTCACTGTCACAACAACTAACACCACCACCACTTTTAATAACCCCCACTCTTTTATCTGAACCACCATCGTCTTAGTACGCACACTTTCATCATCGCTGCAAGGCGCCTTGGAATACGAAGCCCAACACCAAAGTCGATGCCGCGTGTGTCTGCTCGCCCCGGCACGTCAACGAAACCCTCATCCGCGAGCCTCAAAGCTGCAGCGGTGCCAAGCTGTGCGAAGACGCGAATCTTTGATTTGATGTTTCAATGTTCCGTCATTGGTGGCTGGGGATAAAGCTACCGCCTCCCGACACTGAAGAAGCTGCTCTACTCACAGCTCAGTCGATGTGAGTCTATGGGTCTCTGTGTGAGTCTATGGGTCTCTATGTGAGTCTATAGATGTCTGCGTGAGTCTATGGCTCTCTGTGTGAGTCTATGTCTATGGGTCTCTGTGTGAGTCTATGGGTCTCTATGTGAGTCTATAGATGTCTGCGTGAGTCTATGGCTCTCTGTGTGAGTCTAAGGGTCTCTATGTGAGTCTACGCGTCTCTATGTGAGTCTATGACTATATATGTGAGTCTACGGGTCTCTATGCGAGTTTACGGGTCTCTGTGTGAGTCTATGGCTCTCTCTGTGAGTCTACGGGTCTCTGTGTGAGTATATGGCTGTCTGTGTGAGTCTATGGGTCTCTATGCGAGTCATTAATGCCCGGGCTGAGCCAATAAATCCACTCCGCTCCAGAACCCAGTTTCACCACGGGCAGTGCCTGAGAGGCCCGGATTCGAACCCAGGCCCTCAGCGTTGCCGGCTTAGCGTGTCCTGACCTCTCTGAGCCACTGGGCCCATTGCCTGTCCATCTTTAAAGCTGCCGGCATGATCAGTGTTACAAATGCACGAGCAGTATTCACCCCTCCTCCTTATCCTCAAGGCAACGCTGCCATGCAGCCCAGCCAAATCACGCACGCGGTGTTCTTGCGCGCACAATGCAACCGACCTCTCTCTGCGCGAGAACGTGGAACTTTTACCACTTTCTCAGCCCAGCCAGCCAGCCGCATAAACAGTGTCGGGGCAAGTGCTATTAGCGAGCACCCATGAAGGCCGGCACGGCACACGAGGGGGTGGTTGGTTCAGCACCATCCCCGATCGCCTCTTTCTCCCCATTTGCGATGTTTAGACACCGGACCAGGTACTAATTTGAGGCCGAGTAGACCTAGGGGAGATCAAGGACGGGTACAGATAATCGTTACCGGTGTTAGCCATGAGCGGGAATCGAACTAGGGCCGCCGGGTTTGTAGCGCAGCGCGCTAACCACGACACTACCGCTCCCCAGACACTGACACTCAATCACACCCTCACTCACTCCCACACATTCATTGACACTAACACTCAAACAACTCACTCACACTCACTCCCACCTTCACTCACACACATTCATACAGACTCACTCACTCCCATTCACTCACTGACACACTCCCACTCACTCCCACTCACTCACTCCCACGCACTCACTCAACTCACACTCACTCCCACACTCACTCAACTCACACTCCCAAACACTCACTCACACACATTCACTCAACTCACACTCACACACATTCACTCAACTCAAACTCACTCCCACACACTCTCACTCCCACACACTCACTCACACACACTCACTCACTCCCACACACTCACTCAACTCACACTCACTCACTTACACACACTCAACTCACACTCACTCCCACACACCCAAGTCACACTCACTCACACTCGTACACAACAAAGATAACAAAGATCCCCCGTATAGCCTTAACAGACTGTAGGGGCAAGTGCTGTTAGCGAGCACCTATGAAGGCCGGAACGGTACACGAGGGGGTGGGTGGCTAGCACCACGCCCGACCGCCTTTGTCTCCCCAGTGGCGATGTTTACACACCGCACCGGGTACTTACACACACACTCAACTCACAATCACTCCCACACACTCACACACACTCACTCCCACACACTCACTCACTCACACACACTCACTCCTACACACTCACTCCTACATACTCACTCAACTCACCCTCACACACACTCACTCACACACTCACTCACTCAACTCACACTCACTCACACACTCATTCACTCAACGCACACTCACTCACACACACACACTCACTCACACTTACACACTCACTCACTCAACTCACTCACACTCGCTCACACACTCACTCACTGCCACACATTCACACACACACTCACAATCACTCACACACTCTCACACTCACTCACACACTCACTCACTCAACTCACACTCACTCACACACTCATTCACTCAACGCACACTCACTCACTCACACTTATACACCCACTCACTCAACTCACACTCGCTCACACACTCACTCACTGCCACACATTCACACACATACTCACACTCACTCACACACGCTCACACTCACACACTCACTCCTACAAACTCACTCACACACTCACTCACACACTCACTCACTCACACACACACACTCACACACTCACACACTCCCACACACTCAAAAAGACAAAGATCCCCCGTATAGCCTTAACAGACTGTAGGGGCAAGTGCTGTTAGCGAGCACCTATGAAGGCCGGAACGGTACACGAGGGGGTGGGTGGCCAGCACCACGCCCGACCGCCTATGTCTCCCTAGTGGCAATGTTTACATACCGCACCAGGTACTCATTTGAGGCTGAGTCGACCTAGGGGAGGCCCGGGACCGGTTCAGATAATCGTCACTGGTGTTGGCCGTGAGCGGGAATCGAACTCGTGTCGCCGGGTTCATAGCGCAGCGCGCTAACCGCTACACTACCACTCACACACTCACACACTCACTCCCACACACTCCCACACACTCACACACTCACACACTCGCACACTCACTCACACACACACACTCACACACTCGCACACTCACTCACACACTCACTCACACACTCACACACTCCCACACACTCACACACGCCTCTCGTTTTTCGACCAACCCGCACAAAACGCCGGGTCCACGCGACTGGCGCACATCACTGACCTTCGCCTGGAGCTCAAGCTACGAAATGCTGCTGATGATGATGATGTTCCTGCTGATGGCACTTCTGCTGCTGATGATGATGTTCCTGCTGATGGCACTTCTGCTGCAGATGCTCCTGCTGATGTTCCTGCTAATGGCACTTCTGCTGCTGATGCTGTTGCTGATGGCACTTCTGCTGCTGATGATGCTGCTGCTGATGTTCGTGCTGATGGCACTTCTGATGATGATGATGCTGCTGCTGATGACACTTTTGCTGCTGATGATGCTGCTGCTGATGTTCGTGCTGATGGCACTTCTGCTGCTGCTTATGACGCTTGTTGTTGTTTGTTGCTGCCGGCTGCTGGTTAGTTGTTTCACGAGGTCACTCGAGTTTGCCGCGAGGTAAATCCAGGGGCTGACAACTCGTGCCTTGCGGCAGCCTCCCCAGCCGGCGTTCTGAAGCCCTCTCTCTCCTCTCTCTCCTTTTCACTCTTCTCTCTCGCTCTCTCGGGGAGCACGGGAAGAAGAGAGGAAGCTTTCCTCCTCCCTCCTCCAACCTCGTTAGCCGGGGACGTGGCCGACTCTTGCTGCTACCCACTGCTGCTGCTGCCGCTGCAAGTCGCTTGCCGGAGTGAGCGCCACTGCTTTGAGCTCCTTGCAGCGAGTGGGTCCCGCGATATGCAATGATCGGGCTTTAAGTAGTCACGTTAATCGCGACCTTAATGGTTGGGGGGAAGGGGGGTAGAGAGAGGGGTGGTGAAGGGGTGGGGTGCTGCGGATGGATTTGGGTGGTGGTGGTGGGTGGTGTGAGCGCCTCGACGCGCCGTGCCGGCCCCCTTCGTGGGGCGCCGCTCGCGGGACTGCACTTGCCCCCAGAAGCGTGCCGAGGCTACGCGGGGGACCTTCGCCTTTTCTTCGAGCGGGTTGGGCGGTTGGAGTCGCGGTGGGTGCCGGGGGAGGTGAGTCGCCTTGATGCTCGTGGGGTAGGTGGGGAGGGGTGGTGGTGGTGGTGAGGGGGGGGCGAGAAGGGAGAGCCCACGAGGAGGAGTAGGAGGAGGGTGGGACGGGAAGACGGAGGGAGGCGAGGAGGAGGAGGGAGGGAGGGGGGCGAGGAGATCGCGGGCTTCGGAGGGAATTGCGGACAGACGATTCTCGGGGTGGCCGTTGCCCGTTCATCGCCCTGCTCGTCGACTCTGCTGCTGGATTGTTCCCGTATGCGATGCCTGTTAACACTTTGTGTGTGTGTGTGAGGGTGTGTGTGGGTGTGTGTGTGTGGGTGTGTGGGTGGGTGTGGGTGTGTGTGTGGGTGGGTTTGTGTGGGTGTGTGGGGGTGTGAGTGTGTGTGGGTGGGTGTGTGTGTGGGTGGGGGTGTCTGTGAGTGTGTGTGGGAGTGTCAGTGTGTGTGGGTGGGTGTGTGGGTGTGGGTGTGTGTGTGGGTGAGTGTGTGTGTGGGTGTGTGTGGGTGAGTGTGGGTGTGTGTGGGTGGGTGTGTGGGTGTGTGTGTGGGTGTGTGTGTGGGTGTGTGAGTGTGTGTGTGGGTGTGTCTGTGGGTGTGTGGGTGTGTGTGGGAGTGTCAGTGTGTGTGGGTGTGTGTGTGGGTGTGTGGGTGAGTGTGTGTGTGGGTGTGTGTGGGTGAGTGTGTGTGTGGGAGTGTCAGTGTGTGTGGGTGAGTGTGGGAGGGTGTGTGTGTGGGTGTGTGAGTGTGTGTGTGGTGGGGGGAGGTGGGGAGCCCCTGTAACGCGACGCATGCACGGGGAGTTTGCTCCCTATCCCAGTGCCCTTTCACAGACTCTCGCACCACGTGGGTGTCACCCATCACGCTCGGGCTTCGCCTGCCAGACCGCGCCTATTAAGAAGAACCACCTCGGTTCGATTCCGGACCCGGGCACATTTTACGTGCGGGGTTTGTACGTCACACTCCCATCCCCTCCCGCCTTATTCTGCAGAGTGTGTCACAGGAGTTAGTATGTCCACCCCCATGTTCGCTGGAGCGTGAGTGAGTCGTTCGTGTTCGTAGGTCGACTCAGCCTCACATGAGCATGTGGCGCGATGTGTCAACGTCGTCGCGGGGGAGACAAAGGCGGCCGGGCGTGATGCTGGCCACCCAACCGACGACTTCGTGTGACGTCCAGGCCTTCATAGGTGCTACTCGCTAACAGCACTTGCCCCAACAGTCTCTTAAGGCTATACGGGTGATCTTTGTCTTTGTAGTTTGCATGTTCTCCCCCGTGTCCTGCGTGGGGTTTCCTCCCATAGCGAATAAAAAAAACACTCAGTGTGGTCGGAGCTACCCTACAAAGACAAAGATCCCCCGTTTAGCTTTAACAGACTGTTGGAGCAAGTGCTGTTAGCGAGCAGCGCCTATGAAGGCCGGCACGGCACACGAGGGGTTGGGTGGCCAGCACCACGCCCGGCCGCCTTTGTCTCCCCAGTGGCGATGCTTACTGCACACCGCACCAGGTACTCATTTGAGGCTGAGTCGACCTACCCTGGCACACACACACACAGTGTGGTCTGGGTTGCCCTGACACCCCAATGTAGCAGGATCCTCGTGAAAACATTTGTTCATAATAAGTGTGGATTTCCTGAGTAAATATCTAATTATTATTATTCTAACTCGTTCACACTAAACACGCGTTAACTCATGCGCAAACGAATGCATACACACGCTAACTCACAAAAATACAAAGATCCCCCGTATAGCCTGAAAAGACTGTTGGGGCAAGTGCTGCTAGCGAGCAGCACCTATGAAGGCCGGAACGGCACACAAGGGGGTGGGTGGCCCGCACCACGCCCGGCCGCCTTTGTCTCTCTAGTGGCGATGTTTTTACGCACAGTACCGGGTACTCATTTGAGGCTGAGTCGACCTAGGGGAGGTGTTGGCCGTGAGCGGGAATCGAACTCGGGGCGCTAGGTTCGTAGTGCAGCGCGCTAACCGCTACACTACCGCTCCCCACGATAACTCATACAAATAAACTCATACGCTAACTCATACACACAAACTCATACACAAGCTAACTCATACACACAAACTCATACACACAAACTCATACACACAAACTCATACACAAGCTAACTCATACACACAAACTCATACACAAGCTAACTCATACACACAAACTCATACACACCAACTCATACACAAGATAACCCATACACACAAACTCATACACAAGCTAACTCATACACACAAACTCATACACACCAACTCATACACAAGATAACCCATACACACAAACTCATACACAAGCTAACTAATACACACAAACTCATACACACAAACTCATACACACAAACTCATACACAAGATAACTCATACACAAGCTAACTCATATACACAAACTCATACACAAGATAACTCATACACACAAACTCATACACAAGCTAACTCATACACACAAACTCATACACACCAACTCATACACACAAACTCATACACACAAACTCATACACAAGCTAACTCATACACACAAACTCATACACACCAACTCATACACAAGATAACCCATACACACAAACTCATACACAAGCTAACTCATACACACAAACTCATACACACCAACTCATACACAAGATAACCCATACACACAAACTCATACACAAGCTAACTCATACACACAAACTCATACACACAAACTCATACACACAAACTCATACACACAAACTCATACACAAGATAACTCATACACAAGCTAACTCATATACACAAACTCATACACAAGATAACTCATACACACAAACTTATACACACCAACTCATACACAAGATAACTCATACACAAGATAACTCATACACAAGCTAACTCATATACACAAACTCATACACAAGATAACTCATACACACAAACTCATACACACAAACTCATACACAAGATAACTCATACACAAGATAACTCATACACAAGCTAACTCATATACACAAACCCATACACAAGATAACTCATACACACAAACTCATACACACAAACTCATACACAAGCTAACTCATACACACAAACTCACACACACCAACTCATACACAAGCTAACTCATACACACTCCCCTCCACGCACTCTCCTACCTCTCCCCACTCATCTCGCTCCACTCCCCTCCACGCACTCTCCTACCTCTCCCCTCTCATCTCACTCCACTCCCCTCCACGCACTCTCCTACCTCTCCCCTCTCATCTCACTCCACTCCCCTCCACGCACTCTCCTACCTCTCCCCTCTCATCTCACTCCACTCCTCTCCACGCACTCTCCTACCTCTCCCCTCTCATCTCACTCCCCTCCACGCACTCTCCTACCTCTCCCCCCTCATCTCGCTCTTTGCGCTCTCCACTTCAGCAACCAAGGCTTTCTGTCAAATCCCCGAGTCAAGCTTTCGCTCGGTGCGAGTTCGGTCTCTCATCGTCCTCTGCTGCTCCCACAGTCTGAAACTGGCCTCCCCCCAGTCGTCCGTGCTGTCGACTCCCTGACCCTGTTCACGTCCCTGGCTCGATACCTCCTCTCCCTCCTCCTCCCTCGCCTCCCTCTGCCTGTGACTGAGCCACGCTGTAATTGTATTCTGCTAGCTCGCACCGTATTCTCCAGATTATAAGTCCCCTCTCCCCCCCCCCCCCCCCATTTTTGTTTTAAAACAAAAAGGTAATCCGGTAGGCGCGCGCGTGCGAGCCATGCGCGCGCAGCGCACGCGGCGAACCATGAGATTTGAGTCACTTCGACGTGAACCGGGGCGCCTCGTTCGAGCCGTGGCCGTCACTCTCCCGGGGCGTCTCCACACTTCGGGAGAATACGGTATCATAGGGGCACGCGGGGGGGGGGGGGCTGTGGGTCGCACGGGGGGGGGGTCGTCTGATCCTTTCGCCATCACGATACAACAAGGGGCAATGGGCACACTCCGCGTGACGCGGGGGGGGGGGCTATTGAGACATTATTGTAATAATGCTACTAATGCTAGAGGAAATGTAATTTTAGAGAGCGTCATTCACGCAACTGGCGTCCCACAACGCTGCCACGTCAATTCGCCAGTCCCTTGCGAAGACGACGCAAATTGACCCCCCCGCCCCACACTTAGCGAATAAAACAAAACAATAAAATATTAACACATCATGAATGTGAAAGAGAGAGACACGAAATAATGCACGTAACAAGAAAATGATCATCGCAGACATTATGAATTTAACTTAATTAACTTGTCCGGTGTTCGTTACCCCAACCTCCAAGATCACGAAAGACAATCACAACATTTCGCCGGATTTAGGAGAACCTTCACAGGGTGAAGGTGGTGGTGATGGAGTGGCCAGAAAGTTACGAGCCAGTTGGACCTGAACAAAAGTGACGATTTCCCAGCAAATAAATAGACATTTTCGGTCCGATTTTAATAAGTTAACTTGTTTAGATTTGTTGCGATTTGTCTACCACTCTGTGTGTGCTTCATTAGTTTACAACAAACCCCCGCATCCCTATCAAGTGGCCCATGCCATGCACGATCCCTGTCGGCATGCATGTCAAACGCATGTTGGGATTTCCATCCGTAGTCACATTATGAAATAAAAACAAAAACGATATTAACTGCCGCAACAGAGCAAAACGTTCGTCAATAATATCGCCGTGCCCTGCCTGTGTGTGTGTTTGCGGGGGCTAAACGGGCGCGTTGCACGAGCTCGAGAAGAG